ATATATATATATATGCATGTACATGTATATATATATATACATATATATATATGTATATATATATATATGTATATAGACATGTACGTATATATATATGTATACATTGATTGGCTTAGTTTCTCGGGGTTTGCCTGGGGGCTTTGCTAAAGTGGTGCTGCGCGAGGGTCTTTGGCCCTGCATGCCGAGGCATCGGTGGGCCCAGGAGAACATCGCAGTGGATCAGGTGGGCTTGTTGCTTCGACATTCTTCGACCCCAGTACGAAAGGATAAACATGAAATGAGCCCTAAAGGCAGAACAACTTGAGGTTGGCTCATGACACCTTTCATGTTTGCCTGATTTGGGTTCACGGCTGACGAAACAGCTCCCTTAAGTTTTATCAACTTCCTGTGCATTCCCGCCCTTGCCAAGTTTGCGAGGTGGCTCTAACGTGTGCCATCCAGGGCTGCAGCATCGCCAGCCAGTGGACGATCGGACTTGCTTTGAGTGCTCGGGACTTTCCCACTTTTCTGTTTCGACACGAACGTTGACGGCGGTGGGTGCTGCATCGAGTTCACGGGCTTGCGGTTCTGCTTTTCATCGAATATGGAGCCTCGGAGTGGACACGGCGACGGAGCGGCAGTACCATTGGCCTGAGACTTTCAACATATATCACTAAATCAACACCCCAGGGCATCATGCCGTGTATCAGACTGTGACGATTCCTGTAATTCAGGTACCCTTAAGACGTAATCACTCCGAGTGACACCCCCCCTTGCATTGCCCAGGCAACGAAGCCTGAACCCAAAGATTCTGAACCGTCTCCACATCAAACCTGAATACCGAAATCCTTCAGCACCGAACTCTTGGAATCTGTCGATCATAGGTTTATCTTCTTGTCTTCTTGCAGTGCATACCCCAAGAATCCGTGCCACCTACAGCCGTTTGCGTAACACAATCTTCAATGCTGCCACCCCTAAAGCACCACACAGCCCCTGCTTTCACTCCAACCCGAAGCCCTCATTTTGGTCTATGCTCCTTGGCACCGACGATTGCGATTGTTTCTACCCAAAGCCTTGGACACTGAAGTTCAGAGCTTCAAAGCCACATCCAGACATCGGTGATTGCAAACCAACAGCAAACAGCAAAATACCCAAAGCACAGAAGCCACAACAGTCGACGTGATGCCACAGCAGCATGGGAGCCCCAAGCTCAATCACGAAGCCGCTTAAAAATCTAAACGCACGCTGATAACGAGCATTTCAGTACTTTGGCAATTGCTGTCGTGATCTGCAGTTGCTACTGGGCATGTGTTCTTGCATCAGCTTGTACAACTAGGTATTTGTTCATAACTGCCACTAACACATGTTGATCTCCAGGATCCAGGCCCTGGCTGTGTTTGTCGCCACGCAAGCCCACAGAGCAGCGGCCACGGCCGTGGTCAGCAGCTGCCAGCGCGCTGCGCCGCCAGGCTTCAAAGCAGCCCATTAAGCGCTTTGGTTGGGGCTGCAGGTCTGCAGGGCTTTTGCAGATGGCATTACTGCGATACCTGCGATAAGTACTACAATTACTACAATTGCTATTCTTGTTGTTGGTGTTGTGTTCCCTGTCATTCTTACGATTCGTGCGCCCGACCTGCTTTTCGAAATGCCAAGGGCTTCGAACATCCCAAATGAACTATGGCAAGAACGAGACAGTGGATCTGTTTAAACAGTTTAGTATAGGCTCAGAGTTAAGTATTCAATAATTCAATTTTCAAAGCTTGAGGCCTTTGTGGTTGAGGCCCTAGGCGAAGGCTAGTGTACACAGGGTCGGCATGATTTGGTTATGTTTGTCTACCATAACTCTGAAGAAGAGCTTGTGCTCTCCCCAGTGCGTAAATATCAGATCCGATACTGTGCTGTGTTTTGTGGCTGGGCTCTGGCGAAACGAATCTGCAACCGCAACAGTCACCCGTGTACTGTATGTGGCCATAGACGAAGGACCTTTGGGTTAGCAACGTTTCGGGTAGTGGACTCACTGTTCTTCGAGCTGAGTGTCCGAAGGCTAGCAGCCGCTTCATGTGTGGGTATGAGGAAGAGTCGTTCTCGTGCAGCCAATCCTGTAGCGTGTGTACGCTTGTCTGTGAGTGCTACCTGCATCAGGAAATCTTTCGGCGTGCATGAACAGATATGTGCATGTTGCAACCGCTATTGGATGAAAAAAACAACAGTTACATCACTTTCTGTGCGTGCCCGTTCCGTTCGACTTGAAGCAAGGTAATGCAGCCAAGTCTTGCGTATGTTCTGAAAGAGTTAGATACCCGCTCAAAGCAGCCTGTCACCCGCATCGTCTTGAAAGTCGAGCCGCTGACTCCAAAGCCAGAGCACAATGCAGTCCTGCACCCAACATCCTCGAGAGCACACAGCACTAGGCAGTGGGCAGCCGCTGTAGGCCTTGTGACTCTTGGCAGATGTGCGGGCTTCCCTCTGACACATACAGGCTTCAAATGTTCAGAACTGTGGTGGACATGTGACGAGTGGATGACGATACTTCGCGACAAGAACGATGATGAGCAACGGCATTGTGATGAGAGCGGCGACCATCAGTAAAATGACGATGCTTACGGTTACGATGGTGATCGCCATGATGACGAAGACAAGGACGACGATAAATATGTTGATGATGGTGACGATGATGATGATGATGATGATGATTGTGACGATGACGGCGATGGTGATGATGATGTGAGAATGATGGTGGTGATGATGATGACCACGACGACGGCCATGGTGACGGCTGTAAGTTTTGCATCTACTACCAGACTACCAGGCTGTGATTCTTGGATGATGGAGCCGTCATTGAAGTTGCTGACTTGTGTCTTCTTGAAGGCCGTACCCCTGCGAGTCCATTTGCAGCTCGGATGTAGGGCGGATCTCAGGTTTAACGTACATCGCCCTGTAGATACACGAGGGCTTCAGACACATGACGTCGCGTCTGTCGCCGGTACTTGGCCATTAAAGCCGCTCTGCTCTGTGGCCCCGAATGAATGGGAAGCGACTCAGGAAACTGAAACTAAATGCTGCGCCAAGGCCCGGCTCAAGCTTTTTGTTTCTGAGGTTCTAGGACTCTAGGAGACCCGGCTGTCGAAGCCCGGTATCCTGAGTTAAAAAATTGGGCTGGAGTTTTCCATGGCCAAATCCGTTGTCCTGTGAAGCTCTGCCGTGCTTTTGTTGATACTAGCACTGCCTGACATATCTGACCCACAAGCTCACAATCTCGGAATCATACGATCATTTTATTTGGTTAGGGGGTTCCATGACGCTTGCAGGGCTTTGTTTCAAATCTTGTGCCTGCAAGCAGCACGCTTTGAACTTGCATTGCCTAACCACCCAGAATCCAAAGCAATAGCCTGTGCATGCTGAGGAGTCACTTCCGCTCAAGAGCACTTGATGCCGGCACGGAGGCCTTCAATGCCGCCATTAGCGCCTGCGAGAAGGCAGCCGGGCATAGCGCAAACATGGAATATCACACAACCGAAGCTGCCGCCTTATTCATCATGCTGCCAGCAATACGAGTTTGCGAAAGCGTTAACACGCACGTCGGTGAACATGAGGTCTACTTGAAGACAATGCAGGCAGCCACTATGGAAACTTGACCCATGTTTCAAGCGCTTGTTCGAGTCATGTGCAAGTTGTAATCAGGTTTGTACTAGGACCGAGGTGCAGAGACGTATGGTGCTTTCATCAAGCAGCTCGAGCGGCTTTTTACGATGTTCAAAGCCCATCTTGCAACAGGAAGCTGTGTTTGTATGAGACTGTAAAGAAGCATTAAACGCCAAGGGCCATGTCCGAGTCTACTGGAGTGGGGTTGAAGGCGTAGCTTGATTGAGATCAGCGTCGCCACCAGGAATCCCACGGATGAGTGTTCCGTGGGTGCGCTTGTCTCGGCACACGAGGGTGCTGGTCAGTAGTACGCCGAAGCCCCACTACAAACAGAATTCCATGCCTGAGTCTGGAGATGAAGCTTGCAACCAACCTAAGCCAAAAGTGGAACTTCGAAAAGCTCGACTAAGGTCCAAGCCTTCGTACTTTTAAAGGGTTGGAAGGCATCGTTGGCTTAGGGGCTTTTGCGTCATGGTTTAATTAGGCTCCCAGAGCATGAAGATTTTCCGGTCTCGGGCATTCTTGCAGGGAGCTGCGTGGCAAGCTGCTTTGCTGGTTGTGGATGCGATGGAGGACGCATATTCGGGTCCGCGACTGCGTCTTGCTGCTGCTGCTCTTTTCCTCCTCCACCTCGGCCTGCTTCGCCAGGGCCGCCACCCAGCGCTCTCTCCACCAACACCACCACTACCACCGCTACTTCCACAATCCCACAAGTACTAGCACCACCACTACCAGCACCGCCACCGCCACCCCGCGCCACCAACCGACGCCGCCACCCCGCCAGCACCAGCAGCACCACCACGACTGCTGTTGTTGACGAGGCTGCTGCTGGGACTGCTGGTGCTCCTGCTGCTTCTCTTCCGCTGAACAATGCGACTCTTACTATGACGACGACTCCGTCTGGTGCTCATGCCCAACGACAGCTGGCCACAGCTTGTCCATGTCCGTTCTATTCCCGACCGATGGTCACCGTTCCAGCCCTTTTAACCCTTGCCATCCGGAATTTCGTGTGGTCCTGTCCTTGGACGACAAACTCCTACCTGAAGCCCTACAGGCTGAAGACTCATTCTTGTGGCTGGGATTGCGAAAGCATGTCGTCTGCTTCGGGCTAGAGGATGGGGTTTAGGGCAGTTTATAGGGTCCGGAAATTTCCAACGGCCCTTACATCTTTCCTTATTCCATTCCATTCCTCCGTGAGGAAGCCGCTGTGCAAAAAGACATCATCACCTTCAACTCAGCTTCTTGCATGGTGGTTTTGATCCGCAAAACGCTCAGAGTTTGGCTTGGGCTATTTGGCTGAGGGCTTAGATCATAGGGTTCGGGATCAGAGTTTACGATCTCGGGTGAGTTGAGGAGAAGGATTTGGTCACGTATGGTTGCTCTCTGATTGGTGACATGATTATCAACACGGAGCAGAAGCCGCCATCAGCCCAAATCATCAAGCCCATGTTCGAGTATAAAAGAAGCATCATGCTAGAACTTTGCTTGAAGTTTGTCAAAGACGATCGCTTCTTACCATAGCTGTCATCGAATCAATATGAAATCTTTGTGACGTAAGTCCGTGTGATTTCTTGTACGGTCAGCTCCCCTCGCAAACACCATGATCGTACCCATTTCACTTCAGGCCTGAAACATTCCGGACAGTTGCCGGACTTTCGCACCAAAAGTTCAATGTGCACAAGCGAGTCGATCATGACGGACCCAACAAACAATAAGCCCGTCTTCACTAAAGTATTGCACATGCCTCTGCACACTCAGGCTATCGGCGCTTGTGGCAAAGGTGGAAGATGGGAGGCCCTCTTTTGGCTGAGATGTTTGAGGTCTCGGGATTCAGGGACGTAGGCTCAAGGGTTTGGGCTTCAGGGTTTTGTGGTTTAAAGTTTGGGTTTGGAACCTCCAGGCCTCGGCGTTTGAGTAGTCCAGGGTTTGTCACCGGAGCTTTCCTGCAGGATTCCTATGTAGATTCATTCATGTACTTTGCGCTTATTTGTTTTCGTCTTTCGGGCCTCGACGCTCTCGTGATTTGGGTGGGATGTAATTGTATCGCCTACGACCATGCCTACGACCGGTACCTTGCTTGTTGCAAACCCTTAGACCCGTAAAATCATAGCCTGCGGGCTTCGGCTGCACATGCTTTCTAGTCACTTGGCCGCCTCAGTTCCAAATCGAGCTCGCAACGTTTCCAGGCAAAGAAATAGCAAGATGACGTCGGTGGGATTTTTCATCTTGAAGAGATGAGGCAATTTGCATGAAAGCCGCCTGAAGAACTGAATGCAGCGAATACATACATAGTATCCACATCTCGACTGTTTTACAAGAAGTATCCCGGCAACTTGACCGAGCTGTAGCAGATCTATACCAGGCGGATTGCATAGACAGCGAAACAGAAACACGGCCTCTGCTGTAGGTTTTATTGCTCCTGATGAGAAGAGTCCCTGGTTGCCAGGTGCAGAACTATAGCTATGGTCCACTTCAGCTAAACTGGAAGGAGGGAGGGAGTGAGGGAGAAAGAGAGAGTCCGAGATGAAGACAGTAAACAAATCAACCAACCTGAGCACTATGGCCAGAGCGTGTCTGGTGCCAATGTGCGGCATATGCCCCTTTCAGGTGGCAGTTCATCTTCTTACCGAAGCGGCCACGAATCTTAGCTGCCATTCAGGTCAGTTTCATGCCAGCCTGCGTCCAAACACCCGAACTGGACACATCCAAGCTTCGATAGCTCTTCACACTAGCTCGATAGAGCAGGTTTTGAGATACCCTCAGCCCCACTCTACAGTCCGAAGCCGCCACTTGACCCAAGCCCGTAATTAAAGCACATTCTGATCAGAGGATGCAGCGACACGCACG